TTACCTGTTGATGGTGGTGACATGTTTCTTAGCCAGGATCCACCCAGGGGAACTGAGGTTTTCTTTTCATCAATAAATCCATAGATGGTGCCATGAAGACCTGCAAGAAAATTGACAACAGCGCAGTGACATTTAGTCAAAAAGCTCACGCTTGATGAGTTTTTCACATGTAGTTTAAAAGGAGATTTAGATCCTGTTGGTCTGGGTGGAGCAAAAACAAAATCCACCACCTGTTTGTAATTGTCAGAAGGGCCTCCTGGTCTGGCCATCCAACAACTACACCTGGCTGTGTTGGTGGGTAACACACAAAGGCACTCAAATGGACCAAAAGGAGTTTATTTGTGTGCAACAAGGGGTTTTAAACTGAAATGGCACGTTTATTGAACATTTTCCAACAGGAAGATCTGCTTCATATTTGTACATTACTCTCACATTCTTGCCCAACAGCACACAAAATGCAGCTCCATAATCATCATCCTTAGTCTGATATATCTACTATCCTTTCTCTGTACACGTCTAAACCCCCTCAGACATGCCTCTCTAATCCTGGTCCCTCTAAACAAGAACTTTAGCATCTTCAACTCTGCAATTTCCCGCTCAGCTTCCTCTCTTTTTTGTCAGTGCCACCGTCTCCAAACCACAGTAGGTCATGCTACCATGTTGTAAACCTTCTCTTTCACTCTTACTACCATCCTTCTTCCAAATCCACTCCATTGTGCCTGCACTCTCTTCTTCACCTCTCTTCTGCACTGTCTCTTGCTTTGGATGGTCGATCCCAAGTATTTCAATTCCTCTACCTTCAAGTACCTCTGCTCCTTGCATTGTTACTGTTACACCCATCTCCCTCTCATTCACACATGTATTCTGTCATGTTCCAACTAGAGCTGCCATGTTTAGTAGACCCGTCACGATTACGTCGACTATCAAAACTGTCGACGACTAATTTAATAGTCGGCGCGTCGTTTGAAGCTTCGTAAGATCCTGAAAGACGCAGAAACAAGTAGTAGGATTCAAGAGTGGAATAACGGACTGAAACAGAAGATGGCAGCACTGCATCTACAAGGATGCCAGCTGCCATTAAAGGCTAAAGAAGAAGACGCAGTTTCCAGTATCGTAGCTGTCGAAATTCAGTGGCTGCATCCTCTGGAGGCCGCATTTGTAGGCCGATTACGTCACAGCGACACGACAAAGGCTGTGACAGCAACCCCCACCTCCTACAAAGGACTCCGACAAATGCGGCCGACAAATGCATCCTCCTTTTCCCCAGATTTTAATCATGGGTTGGGCGTGTCCTTCGTTGCCCAACCTATCCCAGAATTCGTAGCGTGGCCCATCCAATTCCAGTTTCCAACAATGGCGGCAGCTACTTAGTTTTAATATTACACTTTCTGGGTCACAAAATAAACTTTTAAGTTATTTTCAGGCAAGAATGTAGCTGTGTAAACTTCAAATAACTGCTAGGTTTATCAAGACAACACATATTCCCAAAAGTGCTCTGACGTTTTCAGAGAC